GGCACATCAGTTCACTCGAAAATTCACAACAAAAAAATTGTAATTTTTTTAAAATTATTAATAATAATAAATTTTAATCCTAAGTATGATAAATTTTTATTCGGAGCACTAAATTGACTGATTTCATTAGAAAACAGCTAGCAAAATGTTCCTCTTATGTACAATTGTAAAATAATTGAAATGATTATGGAATTTGATGCTTGATGAACCTAATCAGACGCAATCCAGTCATTAGCAAATGTAAAGCACTTATGAGAGAGTATTTCAATTACTATTTAATGATATAAACGATACAATTTCGTTTATTTTATGTTTCCATTATTTCAGGTTAAAAGTTTTTTTTGCTGCTTTTGTGTCAAAGCAGAATTTACTTTTCATGTCTTGGAGGAAGAAATTAATTTTTTTTGAGCGCAGATTTCGACTATTTTCGAGGTTATAATTTGTATTTTGTCGGTTTGGTTTTTTAAATATTTACTCTTGTGAAGTATGTAATTTCATACAAAATTCAGAGATTTTTAGAAACATGTTCTTGTGAAGTATATAATTACGTACAAAATTCAAAAAATCTTAGAAACATGTTCTTGTGAAGTATGTAATTTAATTCAAAATTTAGAAAAATTTTGAAACATATTCTTGTGAATTATGTAATTTAGTACAAAATTCAAAAATTCTCGGAAACATTTTCTTGTGAAGTATGTAATTTTGTACAAAATTCAAAAAATCTTGGAAAAATGTTCTTGTGAAATATGTAATTGAATTCAAAATTCAGAAATTCTTGGAAACATGATCTTGTGAAGTATGTAATTTCATACAAAATTAAATTTTAAAAAAATCATTATAAATTCAAAAATATTTAAAATTTCATAAAATCACACTAAAAAAGAAATCTGCGCTCAACTCCATAATCCAGTAACCATCCCAGCTATAAATTTCTTTTATTTTTCATACTATCATCATTACGACTATTGACTAAACATTAAACTGGCTCTATATAATTTCGAAAATAAAATTTCTTTCAACTTTTATTATTTTCCATGTACAAATCATTTACGTGTACCATTTTTAGCGTATTTTCCTAAGGAACAATACGCTTTTATCTTCACTTTGGCTGGCTGGCTGGCTGGCTGGCTGGTACCGTGAGATCTCAGCAATGAAAGCATATAGAGCCTTCGGATTTTTTGCATTCAATCCTTGCCATATTGTAGGCAAACCGAATCCGCTTTATGTTTCATAACTTATTATTATTATTATTATTATTATTATTTATTTCTTCATTTTATCTTTTTTAAGGAAAAGCCATTTGAAATGTATTTGCACAGTTTCATCCGGCATAAAAACCTTAATGAACTTATTATTACATATATTGTTTAAGATTCAATGATATAGGAATATCGTTAAAGAACTTAAAACTAACGAGATATATTCATTTAAAACATTAACGGTTAAAACAAATTTAACTTATAGAAATTTTGTCGTATTAGACTTTTGGTGTGTGTCTTGGAAATATCAACGTCTTAAAACCGGAGCTTTTAAATACATGTATTCAAGAATAGGTATGGAAAAACCAATTGCAGGACAATTAATAATTTTTTTTTTGCTAATACTCTCTTTTATGCAATTTTAGCTATCAGTATCACCCAAAAAACTTTAAGTAGCTGTTATTAAAGCACATAGATAGGAACTGTTCACTAGACACAAATTGTCTTGTCTGATATTTAAACGAATGGATGTGGACAGCCTTCCTGATTTGCAGTGGTAAGTCGTTATATACGTTAATTCCAAAGTGATCAATATTTTTTCTACCATAGTTATTATTTGCAGCTGCTGGTCGAAGATTCATTTTATTCCGTGCTCCCTTATTGCACTCTAATGTGACATTGGTGTGGATTAATTTGTTTCGGCACAGGAATATAAAACAAGCAGTATTGACGAAATTTATCGCACGTATAGGAAGAATATTGTCTTTGGTCAGGCTTTTATACATTTCAATTCTGTTGTAAAGTCTGTCAAATCCATACATATTTCTAATCATTCGGTTCTGGATTGTTTGGATGGGTCTGATGACTGTATCACATGCATTACCCCATATATTTATCATATAGTTGATGTGTGTAGCAAAAAGCGAGTGATAGATCTTCTTTTTGGCTGACATTGGCAATACGTTCTTTAACTTCCACATTATACATGCTGCTGATGATAATTTCTTTTCCACTTGGGTTCCGTGCACATCCCATTTTAGATGAGGATCCAGAAAAAGGCCTAAATACTTCATTGACATTATTCTGGTAATCGTAAAATCTTTATTTATCTCTATTTCTTGTGGCTGACTGCTTTTTATGAATGGGGAATGAAATATCATGAAGTTTGTTTTTTTTGTGTTGATTATCATTTTCTGTTGCATCAAGAAGTTTATTATTATTACCATGTCGTTTTTGATTACTGGTGAGATATCATCATTTGCAGCATGTTCATTAATCAAGGCAACATCATCTGCGTAAAGTATTATTTTTCCTAAAAGCCCTACTTCTTACCAAAACTTAATTAAATTAACTTTTATATGTTTTTTGCAACGACTTAGCCGACTTTTGCATAACATACGAGTTTGATAAAACAATTTCAAATTTCAAAATAGCCGTTAAAATTTTGAACGTTGCTTCATGTAACGTAACTGGATTTTAGTTTTTGAGTTTCTGGATCTTCGTTTTTGGGATTGGATATGACTTTAGAGTTACTGTATCTTTGTTATTGGTGTTGGATATGACATTAGAGTTACTGGATCTTTGTTTTTGGTGTTGGATATGACTAAAGAGCTACTGGATCTTTGTTTTTGGTGTTGGATATGACATTAGAGTAACTGGATCTTTGTTAATGGTGTTGGATATGAGTTTTAAGTTACTGGATCTTAGTTTTTGGGATTGGAAATGAGTTTTGAGTTACTGGATCTTAGTTTTTGGGATTGGATATGACTCTAGAGTTACTGTATCTTTGTTATTGGTGTTGGATATGACATTAGAGTTACTGGATCTTTGTTTTTGGTGTTAGACATGACATTGAAGTTACGGGATCTTTGTTGATGGTGTTGGATATGAGTTTTGAGTTACTGGATCTTAGTTATAGGTGTTGGATATGACATTAGAGTTACTGGATCTTTGTTGATGGTGTTGAATATGAGTTAAGAGTTACTGGATCTTAGTTTTTGGGATTGGAAATGAGTTTTGAGTTACTGGATCTTAGTTTTTGGGATTGGATATGACTCTAGAGTTACTGTATCTTTGTTATTGGTGTTGGATATGACATTAGAGTTACTGGATCTTTGTTTTTGGTGTTAGACATGACATTGAAGTTATGGGATCTTTGTTGATGGTGTTGGATATGAGTTTTGAGTTACTGGATCCTAGTTTTTGGTGTTGGATATGACATTAGAGTTACTAGTTCTTTATTTTTAATGATGGATGTGAATGTAAAGCTACTGGATCTTTGTTTTAGGGGTTGACTATGACTGTAGAGCTACTGAATTTATGTTTTTGATACGGGACATGTTTTAAATGCTACCAGATCTTTAAAATAAAAATCTGGAACGAACTATTAAAGATCTGGTACGAAAAATTAAGGCCCTCAAACGATTTTGAGTTACAACTAAGTTTACTGATCAGTAAGAGGAAAATACGCTGAAGTCGCCCAGATCCAAAGTACTGGCGATCTTTTTACTAGTTTTTTATACATTTATTAAAAGGCTATCATTGCCCATTTGCCATCCATTCATTGAATGAATAGTTTGTTGTTTTGTGTTCCGTTGTTTGTAATAATTTTTTCACGAGATTTAACAATTTAGCGGCTAAACTATATGTGTATCTATATTATTAATATTATTTTATGAAAAAACTATAATATACATTATACGCGAGAGAGATGCTGGGGCAGTAAGTAAGTAAGTAATTCACTACACATGTCTATGGACAACAAACAATGGATAAATGAATAAAAGCGTAACGAAGGCGCAAAAACCACATACAATAAGAGAAAGAAGAGCAAAGAAGCACAACAGGGCAATGATTATGAAGACGAAGAAAGGCCGATGAGGTGAGCAAGCGAAAAAAGAGTAATCTAAAATACATTAAATGTGTAGCTCATTTTTACCATTCGTTTATCTGCTGTTACAGACTGTTATAGGCACAAAAAATATTAATTTAATTAAGAGTGAGCTGGAAAGAAATGAGAATGAGATGATTTTTTTTTGTACCGAGGTCATGAAATGGATTGAAGATTAGCTACTTGTGGATGGATGTTTGAAGAGATCTAATTGAATTTTGCGGTGTAAAAATGAACGTTTGAGTTACATGAAGGTTGTTATGTCAGTGGAAGAGAAAGGGGTCTATGCTCAGCTGTGGTCGAGTCGATAGCTCGACTGATCGACTTTCTAAATATGTCATGAGTTCGAATCTTACAAAATTTTAATATCCTTTAAATAGTTGACTTTATTGAATGATTTTACTTAAAGATCATTCAATATAACAAAGGAATCGAGACTCAACCTTTGCTCTGGTTCAATGACCTCCCTCAAAACCATCACTTGACTTAGTGCTTCTTCTTCAAATCCACAACCTCAATGAAATACCCAAAAATATTTACAACATATTCAGCAATATTAAACATTGAAGACTAATCATTACTCTACCAAGTTCGTGTGTCTCAACATGTGCATCAATCATCTACAAAAATGAATGAATTCTTCGATTTCATAAACTAGCAATTTCTTTCATAAAACTCTCAGCCTTTAATTTTATACTAGCAATTGAAATGCGTAGCGAAAAGTGATTTTAATGAGAGTTTAAGTCTAATTTGGGTAAGGTTGATTCACTAAAGTAGATGAATATTTAGGCTACAGATTGACAATATACAAATTACAAGTTTGTTGATTCCAAAATAATTCATTTACTTTAGTAAACCCACCCCACACCATCCATCACATAATGTGTGGTCTACACTTATAAAACATCAAATTATCCTCGCACAAGCGTTAAATCTAAAGGAACTGTCTTCGGTGCCGCTGCAGCTGCCTCATGATGTAAATCAGGTGTTGATGATCGAATCGCTTTTCTATTACCATGATTATCATCATTATCATTACTATCACGTGATCGTTTACTAGATGACGACTTTATTGATAAATCAATTGGCTCATTTTGCTCGGTATCAACATAATTATTATGTAGCTTCTGGAGTGGCGACGGTGTCAATGAAATCTGTGGTAATGATAGCATGAAAAGTTCTTGTGCACTCGGCGTCCTCGGTGACATAGTCGTCGGAAGTCCATGATGATGAATAGCGAAAGGCAGGAATGGTGTAATTTGTGACGGTTTTAAGTTTCGATTACTAATTATTGGACTAATGTAGCCATCACTTGGCGATGAACTGGTTTTTTCGCGTTTCTCACTACTAAGGCTATCCGATCGTGGCTTCAATGAATTCAGGTTTTTACTTTTGGCTATGTTGTTATTATTAAATTTGATACTCGTTTCGTCAAGTTCAGCCGACGATGCACCTGAATCACTTGGTGAACTTACTCGTTTTATTACTACGTCTTGACCTTTAATCATTCCATTGTTAATATTATTGTTATTATTATTATTGTTGTAATTGCTGTATAAATTCGCTAGGAAATGCGACGATATAAAGTCATTTGGTAGAATACTCGCAGGTTGGTTTGCTATCGATGAATTATTGTTATTATTGCTATTATTGCTATTCTCATTTTGTAAGACATTATTGTTATTACTATTGCTGCTTATATTATTGTTATTGTTATTATTGACTTTATTTTGTTGCTCCTGAAGAAGACAGTGAATTTTGAACCAGTTTGATCGTCGACCATAGCGTGAGCCACTTTTGGACATTCCAACTAGTAGACACTTTCGAAGACGACATGCTTTACATGCTGTACGATTCTTTTTGTTAATGACACATTCGCCGTTGTTTTTACATTCCGATATCGATGATAAGTTGTTGTACGTTCGTCCGAAAAATGACTATGATAAGAGAATAAAGAGACAAAAAAAATGCAATTAATAAATGACTGCAAGTGTAGAAAGTGAAGGATGTAACCTTGCGATACATAAACACACAAGGAACATCAATTAATGGGACTTTATTATGCTATAATTAACTCATTTTCATATTCATGTAAGACTTTAATTGACATTGTAATTGATGGGTTTTGATAAAAGTTATGACTGTTATAATGGAGACAATTTCGTGGAATAATGTTGATTCTGCAATGTCGTCTCTGATTGCCATCGTCTTCTTAAAATCGATTTTTTGATTGCACTTTCGATTATATTTGTTTAACTTACAGCTGAAAATTATTAAAATGACAATTAATAAGACTTTAACGGCTTCCAGCAATTCCCTAAAAACTTGATGACTTAAAAGCATTTTAATGCCTCGAAACAGTGACGCTATAAGAATTCTGGTGCATTAGCAATAAAAATCATTTTCAAATTAATTAAATGACCATAAAACCAGTGAGTAGTCTTTTGTTGTTAAATGCGCACATCACAAAGCTTCATCTTTTCTGTCGCATCTCTTTGTCCTCTTGCGTCCAAGCAGCACAAGAAAAAAAAATAAATTTCCATAATTTCTCAGAACTCATAAATCAGCTAAAGTGAATAGGAGCATTAATTTATTGGTATCTGACCGACGGAATCTTCTTAAGACGTATCAGTAAACGAGTAAATAGTCATCATAAAAAAACACAAAAGCTCTATTAAAAGCCATTCATCCCTGGGGATTGCGGGAGAGCCGCAACGTTGAATATTTAATTAAGTCCATCAAGATTTGCTTTTTGATGTCCACCTCCTTCTTATTTCTATTCTGTGTTTCTGATGGTGCAGTTTTTCTCGAGCACTTTTTTTAAACTCATAAATGAGTCAAAAATTGCATAAACTTGTTGGAAATAATGAGATTTTGGTAAGTGACTAGTGCGCACTTTTGAAGATATAAATGCTCTTTCATTTTGAAGCAAAGATGAAGCTAAGCTATGATTTAACGGAGCTGAAGCTAGATTTGAGCTAAAGCTAGGTTTTAGCTGAAGCTGGAGCTGAACTAGAGCTGAGCTGAATCAAGAGTTAAAATTAAGCAAAAGCTGAGCTGAAGCTAGAGCTGAGCTCAGGATAGAGCTGGGCTTAAGCTAGAGCTAAGCTTAAGCTAGAGCTGAGCTTAAGCTAAAGCTGAGTTCAAGCAAGAGCTGAGCTTAAGCTAGAGCTGAGCTCAAGCAAGAGCTGAGCTCAAGCTAGAGCTAAGCTCAAGCAAGAGCTGAGCTTAATCAAGAGCTGAGCTTACGCTAGAGCTGAGCTTAAGCTAGAGCTGAGCTTAAGCTAGAGCTGAGCTTAAGCTAGAGCTGAGCTTAAGCTAGAGCTGAGCTTAAGCTAGAGCTGAGCTTAAGCTAAAGCTGAGCTTAAGCTAGAGCTGAGCTTAAGCTAGAGCTGAGTTTAAGCTAGAGCTGAGCTGAAGCTAGAGCTGAGCTTAAGCTAAAGCTGAGCTTAAGCTAGAGCTGAGCTTAAGCTAAAGCTGAGCTTAAGCTAGAGCTGAGCTTAAGCTAGAGCTGAGCTTAAGCTAGAACTGAATTGAATCCTAAAAACTGAGCTGAGTTGAATCCTAAGTTAATCTTAATCTAAAGCTGAGCTTCATCAGTCATTCTTTTAATTAGAATTATCTTTTCATCTCATTTCCATTTAAGGCCAAACTGAAGTAAGCAGCAGCACCCGTCCTCTTAAGAACTGCGTTAAAAATTAATTTAATGCATCGTTAAATGAGCTATAAAGCATATGAAGAATTCTCATTCTGTTTTTATTTTACTACTTAAATTAATTTTCATTTTTTATTTGTGCATTTTATAATATTCATCTACACCACAAATGTTCGTTCCTTCTTTCTCTCGATTATATGTTGTGAAATTGTGCACTCTGAAATGAATTGATGATTTAGATAAGAAAAATGCTTGTTTGTTTGTTGGGCATTGATCGGAGATATCCTGAACGTGAGAAATTTTTCTTATTATTTCTCGTGTCGTTCTTTTTAGTTTTTGTGGGACTTGTTGGAATTGTAAATTTTTTGTTTGATGCTGTGGGGACAAAGAAATTTTTCATATGAAAAACAAATCTGTTAGAATTTCCATGAGAATGAGAGAGTCATTAGCGGCGTCTCTAGGTATTGATCTCTTAAAATTGCTCTGAAATGATCAAAGAGCAACTTCACGCCTTATTGTACATTATCATTAAAGTCAATATCAATTTATATCGCGCAAAACTTCATAAAATGTGTGCTAAAAAATGCAAAAAAAATTCCATCTTTTGCTCAATAGAACCATTAAGTGCATTTTTCAAAGGAAGCAGAAAATTCTTTTAACTTTTTTTTTGATAACAATCATGGTATTTTAATAAAGGTGACGCTGCAGAAAAAAATTACAAGAGATTGAAGAAAAGAAGGTAAAAAAAATGCATGGAGAAGACATTTATTGAAGCGACAGCATGATCTGTATCATATACGCCTTACAAGCCACTTCAAAATGTGTGAAAAGGAATTGCAGTAAAGTAAAGTAAAGTGTTAAATATAATTATATTTTTCTTATACACTCTTTCTTCTCATCTCTCTCACTTACTTCACTATCCATTAGCGTTTTTTGTGCTTCTGCATTTGCACACTGTGCACTGAGTGTTCGATGACTTTTAACCTAGAGTTGGAAACTCGAGGAATTTTATTGATTTTTGTTCTTATTAAAATTTATGTTGAGTATGCTTTATTATCTATAGTCCAGTTCTAAATCAGTTGTATGTTTGCTTCAGTTCACATTCAGCTTTGCTTCTGCTCAGCTTCAGCTTTGCTTCTACTCGGCTTCAGCTTTGCTTATGCTCAGCTTCAGCTTTGCTTCTGCTCAGCTTTAGCTTTTTCTTGCCTTGCTTCAGCTTTGCTTCTGCTCAGTTTCAGCTTTGCTTCTGCTCAGCTTCAGCTTTGCTTCTGCTCAGCTTCAGCTTTGCTTCTGCTCAGCTTCAGCTTTGCTTCAGCTTTGCTTCTGCTTAGCTTCAGCTTTGCTTCTGCTTAGCTTCAGCTTTGCTTCTGCTTAGCTTCAGCTTTGCTTCTGCTTAGCTTCAGCTTTGCTTCTGCTTAGCTTCAGCTTTGCTTCTGCTCAGCTTCAGCTTTGCTTCTGCTCAGCTTCAGCTTTGCTTCTGCTCAGCTTCAGCTTTGCTTCTGCTCAGCTTCAGCTTTGCTTCTGCTCAGCTTCAGCTTTGCTTCTGCTCAGCTTCAGCTTTGCTTCTGCTCAGCTTCAGCTTTGCTTCTGATCAGCTTCAGCTTTGCTTCTGATCAGCTTCAGCTTTGCTTCTGCTCAGCTTCAGCTTTGCTTCTGCTCAGCTTCAGCTTTGCTTCTGCTCTGCTTCAGCTTTGCTTCTGCTCAGCTTCAGCTTTGCTTCTGCTAAGCTTCAGCTTTGCTTCTGCTCAGCTTCAGCTCAGCTTCAGCTCAGCTTCAGTTTTGCTTCTGCTCAGCTTCAGCTTTGCTTCTGCTCAGCTTCAGCTTTGCTTCTGCTCAACTTCAGCTTTGCTTCTGCTCAGCTTCAGCTTTGCTTCTGCTAAGCTTCAGCTTTGCTTCTGCTAAGCTTCAGCTTTGCTTCTGCTCAGCTTCAGCTTTGCTTCTGCTCAGCTTCAGCTTTGCTTCTGCTAAGCTTCACCTTCGCTTCTGCTCAGCTACAGCTTTGCTTCTGCTCAGTTTCAGCTTTGTTTCTTGTTTGTCTTAAGCTCAGCTACAGCTTGGCTTACTCTCAGCTTCAGCTTGGCTTACACTCAGCTTCCGTTTGATTTTTCCTAATCTTACTTAATCTTGTCATAAGTTTCAAAAACTAAAAATACTTCCATTCCCATACCACAACTCTGCACCTTAACCACACAACATTCAAGTGCAATGAGAGCAATACATTTAATGAGAAGTCATTTTTTTGTTGCTACCGCTCTTAGTGCAGTTTAGAATGTGCAAGTTACTCAAATTAAGCCACTTTTTTTTGCTACTCTTCAGTCTCGCTACTTCACTTAAGCACTTTTTGTTGCAATTTTCAATTTATCGCAATCTCCAACAAAATGGTTCAATGATCATTACTGTAAAACCATTTTTTTTCATCCATACTTTCTTATGTGTTTTTTCACTAATCCAATTATTTCATCAAATGTTTGTAATTTTATGCTTGACTTTAGCAGTAGCCGAGGAAATGATGACTGAGTCATAAAAAAAAAAACATCAGCATGTGGAGAAAATACTTTCCTATGAAATTCTAGATCACATAAATCTCATTTCATAAGTGATTTTAGCTTCTGTGTGTCTATTTCATCTGCTGTTAGCTGATGTTTTGTGGAATGATGGGAATTCGGAGAGCATTTGTGGCTATTAAGATATTGTGTGGTAATTAACGTTGTATTCGGGGAAGGTTAAGTCTTTTAGATTAGAAATGTTAGTAAAGCTGCAAAGTGGGCAGTCACTTGTCATCCTTTGTGGGAACCAAGGCTGCTGTATTGTCCTTAAAGGCTTTGAAAGGTTTCCTGCTCTAAAAGTGAACTCTTACGTCCTCAATTTGGGCTCGAGTAGACTTACGGACTAGAGCAACTTGTAAGTAACTTAAGAAAAATTTCTTGAAAATTCTGAGACAACAGACTGCGCTCTATCATCTCACAAACTCTATTTTATTCCCCATTTCCCACAAAAGCAATGCTCGCCGTCAGCAGCAGCAAGAACATTAGCTAATGCTGAAAATTATAATTTTCCATAGACCTGAAAAGTACAATAATTTATAGATCGTGTGAGATGCAGTATAATTATAATTAAAAAACATTTATTATTCAAACTGCTGCTGAAGTCGTTAGCTGGTAATGTTCTTGCTTGTACCGCAACTGTTATTGAAGCAAAAAGGTATTTTTTTTATCAATATTCGTATTTTATTAATGATTATATGACGCGAGTGAGAGTCGAGAGTGAAAAACTATATCAATA